TGGAGAAATATAGTGGAGGTTTGAGATGGGATTGGTGACAGAGAGAGGACGAGGAGAGAGAAGCAGAGTACATGGTCGACGTGGAGAGGAAGAAGAAGAAGATGACAGAAACTGGAACTTGGGAAGAGGGCAAAAGCCGGCACTTGGAATTTTCTGGGTTTTTGGGTTGGACTTGGTTTCTTTCAATCGATTGAATGAATAAGCTTTTGGCTTTCTACATAAACAATGTTGGGTTGGCAAATAGAAACAAAAGCTACGTTTCAGCTTTGGCCTCCAACATCACCACTGATATTCTGTATTTTGTGCACATACATATATTATTCTTTTGATCAAATTTTGTGCTTATAATTCTAAAAAAATTATGTGGATTAAACTTAAAAGGGTGAGAGGTTTATAGTTTAAGTGGTATGTAAGGTTGAATTTAATCGATTATAAGACAAATGTAATTCGTAGATTACGCGTATAGCTTGGTCGATTTTAAGCTTACCCAATCAAACTTAAAGCTCAAATGAGGGGTGGATTAGATTGATTCATCTGGTGCGGTTTGTGAGAATTGAAAACGGTTTGATGAGCACAACTTGTTGCACAAGTGAGCAGTTTTGTTCATAATATAATTTGGTGGTAAATTCGTTTTTATCTTTATTTTCTTGAACTTTAATATTGGAAAGGAAAAAAGAAACACAAGATTCGTGGTCAAGATAGGAGAGAGAGAGGAGGGTTAGAGAGAGGAGGAGGGAAGACGACTGGGTGGCGAGGGAGATGTTTAGACGGCTAGGTGGCGTCAATAGCACAGGGAAGAGGGGGGAGAGGGGTTAGGATAATTAATGTTGAAGGGTAAACTTGTAAGACAAAGTCCAGGTGTAAATTCTTTTTAATTTTCTTTTCAAAAAGGACACATGGTAGATCTTGAGTGGGAGTATCACAAGCTGACGTGGTGATACTGTATTATTGTATAATTTCTCCTAAGGGGACTTTATGAGAATAAAAAAAACTAAAAAAAATTTGCCAATTAAATCCCATCAGCGCAACCCAATCATGTGAAAACTACAATGGCCCTTTTTTCCATCTAGAAAAAGAAAAAAATAGTACGACGCCATGTCACATCTTATTTTCCTTATGTATGTATATAATACGGCGTGTCGTTCAATCACGAGAAGAAAAGAAGAAAAGAAGAACAAGAACATGGGGCAAAAATGAAGGGGAGAAAAGAAATGAAAAAAGAACAAGGGTGGGGAAACTCCTCAGATGTCCCTTGAGTTCCACATGGAAGCTTCGGAAATTGGAACGATATATATACAAACGTGACAGCCAAGAAATAATTCATCATCGGAGCCTGCTCTCACCCAAATTCATTCAACACAAAATTGCAAATCGAATAATATAAATAAATAAATAAATAATAATAATAATAATAATAATAAAAATAGAAGACTGAAAATACAAAGGCTAGAGGCCAATACTGAAGCCGTCCTAGCAAAAACCCCGCCGGCATTTAAAACCGAGAAGAACCAACCACGACGGTTTCTTCTCTTTTCTCTAAAGAAGAAGAAGAAAAGAAAAAGAAGAAGAGGTCGATTGTGGAGTTTGTGTAATTATTATTATATTAGTTAATTTTGGGACCAGATGAATAAATAGGCATTTAAGCCCAATAACAGCCCATGCCCTTCAAGCCCAATATTACCCCAACTTTCCATTCCATTCCATAAAGTATATAATGTGTATTTTGTGCTTTTGATTTTCTTTTCTTTTCCTTACACTTTGTTAGAAGAAGTTCTAAATTTCGAACGCACAATTTCTAGTGTTATCTTTCCATTTGTTAGAAGAAAGTCTCAAGTTCGAAACTCCATGGTTTTAAAACTTGAGCCTTTTTGAGTCCTACAATCTTTGAGAGGCGGGAAACATTAGCAAGAGGGATCTTTGGGGGTTTCGAACCTCAAACCACAACAACAACAAAAGAATAGCACGGGGATTATAATTTAAGTAGTTAACAGCTGTTATCCGTACACTAAATATTCTATGTTTGAAACCCGTCTCTTAATATCACTTGTATATAAAAATAAAAACAAAGAGAACAACAAAAGAAGAGCATATCACAATCAAGAATTTGAAAACCCGGTTTGAGGTTCCCCAATGAAATGAGGCAGTGCCTTTACTGCGGCTTCTTTGCGACTTGCAACAAGAGAGAGAGAGAGAGAGAGAGTAAACTGCAAAAGTAAGAAATAAAATATAACATTTCCCACACGTTATTAATATAATACATAAAGCAATGAATGGAATTTGTAACGTCAGGGTCAGAACCTGACTTGAGGATAACTAAGAATCATGACCACAAAATCTAGAGCTGATTGAAAAGTTGTTTGAACATTGAAGGGATCTGTGGCTGGTCAAAATGATGTACATGTTATCTATGAGACTGAAAGTTGTCATCAGGACACCTCAGCTGAGTTACTTTGTAATGCAATAATCTAACGTACTCTAAAAATCATTAAGTTCATGAACCCAAGCACTTCCTAAAATTGTTCTAAAGGCTTTTTGTGGTCCATGGTTCTTTTTGCAATAAATCCTGGAAACAGACCAGTAATAATGGAAGGCTCAACAGACAACCAACCTGGAAGTCTGGGGTTTAGACCAGAGGGAAGCAGAAGACAGCCTTCGCAAGGCAGAAAAGCAGCAGCTCCCTGGTTGACTGGTGTGGTCAGACTGAGTCTCTCCAGGCCTTTACCACACGAGATAATTTGCTGACTTTCAAACTGAAACTGAAAAAAACAACCACTAGTAACTCACACAAAAGATTCCACTCTCTCTCTCTCTCTCTCTCTCTCTCCTTATAACCTGACTTAATAAAGCACAGAAGGGGTCTACAGAAGGAGGAAGAAAAAAAAAGCCCAGGAGAGGAGTGAGGAGTTCTAAGTTCATGGAGCAGTCTACTTCCCCACAAAAGCAAACCAAAGCTCAGGCATCAAAGAGAAGCTTGAAGGAGAAGAGAGCAAGGTTGTACATTATCAAACGTTGTGTGTTCATGCTACTATGTTGGAGGGAACATGCAGATTAACAATGGTGGTAAAGTTTCACCATCCATATTTATTGTTCTAGTTTTGCAGTAGTTTTTAAAAATAGTCTTGTGTACCTGGCATTGTTGTTAATGGCACTAGGATTTGTAGTGTGTGTGTGTGTGTGTGTGAGAGAGAGAGAGAGAGAGAGAGAGAGAGAGAGAGAGAGAGATGTGAAGATGAAAACATCAAATTGTAAAGATAAAGTTGTAAGTTGCACTATTAATTGTTCCAAGTGACTATAACTACTTTCTTCACGATTTGATGCAGCAGTATCTTTTAAGAGGAACACTAAGCCTATAAGATGTGCACCATTTGCACATTCAAGACATAGACATGAACACATGCAGAAACATGAGACAGATAAGATACAAAAGAGGGCGAATCACCCAAAATAAAATTGTAAAGAGAAAGCTTGAAGGTGGGATTAGCAAAATCATAACTGGAGTTTTAAAGTTTTGAATGTGTTCAAGTTGCCCTTCTCAGAATCTTGGATGCGCCACCATCCCAGATATGGTTCCAGAAGAGTTTCATTGGCATCAGGGACATAAAACTCAATTTGGGAAAATTACAAATAGCCTCAAGATACAATTCCTGAAGGCCACTAGAGTCACCAGACTCTCCACTGTTTCACGCACAAAATAGGAAGTACCATGACATTCACCAACAAATAATTAGATACGCTCTTAAAAGTTGGCATTCAACCAGGAAGTTAGATGGATGGAGAGATAGATAAAAGATACTCGAAGCTAGATATATAGCCACATTCCAAAAACTATAGAAGCAATGGATTCTCAAGAAAAAGGGTTGAGATCATAAGAGAGGCAAAAAATCAGGGGTTTAAACTGTGTCTATACAAATCCATGCAGAAGTTATTTCACTTACAGAAACAATGAACTGAATACGGGATCTATGAGGCTATGTCACCGACTCACCTACAATTACAATTACTAGCACATGACATGTTGAATAAGAACACGTCAGTGTTCTAACTTGATCATGTGAGAGAGCAGTACGGCATTAAAATGAGCTGTTCAACACTGTGAACAAAGCCCAGTAGAAGTTTCCTACAGACTGACATTAGAAATAGAGGGTGACCACATCCCGTAAGCCAAATATGATACATTTTATACACTGCCCTGAACATATAATTTTCTAATCATACTGCCTTGTGAGTATATTTACTAGGCATGTACTGCTATCCTACAATGGGAGAGGGATAAAAATCTCATATATTAAGTATCCAATTAGGAGATTATGAAAACACAAACCCATAATTCTAAATCAACTTGACAATGTCCTATCCATTGATTAATTTGTTTTCTCAAAATAGTGCATCAATCATTATTTGGCCTTCCAATCCGATGATGCATATGCATAAACTCAATTCAATTCCACTCAACAAAATTTTTGAATTCCAATCATTGTAAATTGGGGATTTATTGAAGCTTAGCCTATCCAATGTTAAAATTGGATCTTCAGTCCGTACAATGCATGAACAATGCAGCCAAACAAATTGCAATTCCAATGAAACAAGCATAAATAACCACCTCCGGATTAAAGAAAATAACTTTATTATTTAACAATTTCAATATGTTCTATAAAAATGCTAAATACAATCGTCACCGACAAGCATTACACATTGACAGACTCGCATAAAATTCGGAACCAGAAGCTGTTTTCATAAACCCTAATTACACATAAAACCAAGATCTAGTGTAACAACAATACCACACAGAGAGGGGGAGATCAGACGGGGAGCTCAGCAACGTCGTTTGGACGGTCGCTGTGATTGGTGAGGGTGAAAGGGCGGTCTGTGGCCTCGTCCTCGTCCTCGTCGTCGAAGTCGGTGGTGGAGAGGTTGACGCAAGAGAAGCGCTCGAGGGAGGAAAAGAAGGCGGTGCAGACCGTGGCGCTTACCCAGCTCGCCACCTGGTCTAGCTTCTCCCGCGATATGATACTATTGTTCCCGTTTTCCATTTTTCTTCTTTTTTTTTCTTTTCTTTTTACTTTCTCAGAAGTTGAAAATGAAGGTGGATGTGATTTTGGTTTGAATTTTATATCCATCATTATGTGGGCCATGGACTCCTGGGCTATATGGGTGTCAGTTTAATTTCTAAACGGCCTATATTGGTTATGGGCCATGCTCCATTTAGATTTAATTACCATGAAAGGTTATGGTCAATCACGCATGCAATCTAACCCACGAGATGCTCTTTTTAGAATTAATTACAAGAATTTTTTATGGGTAAATAGAATTAATTACAATAGTATGTGGGTAAATTTTGACCGTTTATGTGTTGTGAGTCTCACATGTATCAATGGTCAGAAATCCCTCATATCTATATGTGTAATTAATAAAATTACGCGTCCAATAAAGTTCAACAGCGTGTGCCTAGTTCTTTTATTTTTCCACTACATGGAGCTTTGGAATCTCTTACCTCTTTTCGTCCCTTATGAGAAAAGCATACGGTCCATTGTATCTCTTTGATCATATGACTAGAGAGGAGAAATAGAAAGCATGAACAATATAAAGGCTATGAGATATAAATTTAAACGTTTGTCCACACTATCAACAAGCGCATCTGGTGTAGTGGTATCATAGTACCCTCCCACGGTACTGACCAGGGTTCGATTCCCTGGATGCGCATTTTTTACATTTCCGTGAAATAAGTTTCCTTTTTTTTGGGTCAGATTATGAGAAACAAGTTTTTAATTTGAATTTTTTGGGTTGAAAAATGTGAAAAAGTGTGGAAGCCCAACATTCTTCTGAAGGGCACAAGCGGGGAAATTGTACAATGAGTTTAGAGTGAAAAATTTATTTACAATGAGGAGTTTAAAGAGAAGAGCTTAGTTGAGGAGTTCAATCCGATCATCAAACCATTGAAAATGCTTTAAGTCCATTGATTTCCTCACATTTGTTGATGGTGGGATTAAACCCTCAAATAAACTCCTTACTCTCTGCAGGCAAAACAACTCCTTACTCTCTGCGGGCAAAACTACCGAAACCTTCACCATAACTTTTCCATGGGCTAAAACCTCCATGTGCTCAATCTAGGTTTTTCTTTTCTTTTTTATTCTAATGGACTATTAACCAAGTGCTCATTCAGCCAGACAGTATAAGTGAATCAAATATGAGCATAAGATCCACCTTTTTTTTTTGGTTACATTGGAGGAAAGAAACCCTTGGGGTTTTGAACCTGGGTGCCATGGGGAAGGGGGAATCCACCACCACTGTGGTGGGAACCCATTGGAATAAATCCCACTTTCATTCTAAGCAGAAGTTACTATTCTGAGCAAAAGATGAGTCAACTTTTCAGAACCAAAACAAAAGAATCATATTTGTGGGTACATACAATACAAGTGCACTATATCAAAATATTGTTCACATGCCACGGCATGCACAAGCTCCAGAGTTGTGTATTCTTCCGAGTTTTCATAACATTTTATCTAAGATGACTGCAGTATCTTCTTGTAGTCCTCAAAAGAGCCATGGAATGGTGCTATCCTACCCTCTGATACCACCCACAGCTCATCCACACTTCCAGAGATAAGATGCTCATCGTGACTAACCTGTGAGTAATAATAACACACGCCTAGTTATGCACAAACCACAAACTAACTATGATAAATCAACTTTTGTTGCGAATAAAAATCGTGACGAGATCGGGATAATGTACCATGAGAATGCCTCCTTGGAAGATAACAAGACCTTGTATTAGTGCCTCCACAGCATCCAAGTCCTACATGTCAACAACCATTGCAATGTGAATAAATCAACAATCAGTCAAGGTGGAGAAAGTTCAAAATCCAGAATACTGTTCTTCAAAATATTAAAATAATGAGAAGGATCATGACTTACCAGATGATTGGAGGGCTCATCAAGCAATATTATGTGTGGTTTCTTGAAAGTTATCTTGGCAAAAGCAACTCTGCTCTTTTGACCACCTAATACATGATGCAACAATAAAAAATAGATCCCATTTAAGCATTTAGAGAATAATGCTAAAATCCATACAGATCAAGAAAATCAACTAATATCTTTCAAGTATTGACAATATGGAATAAAGAAAATACCAGATAAAGTGTACATTGGCTGAAGTGCAAGATTTCCAGTTACACCAAAAGAACCTAAGTGAGATCGGAGCTTTTGTTCAGGCACTCCCTGCAAGAAGGATACTTTATTATTTTACATTTAAAAAAAGAACAATAAAAAGGCATCCCTTAATAGGAAAAGCATGGCACTTCTAAATAACAAGATTATCTGCCAAAACGAGATTAAAGAATTACAAAGGGTTTATCCATCTAGGGGGGCTGAGGCCTTGAACAACAGTTTCACCTAAACTTAGCAATGGAAACTTGTTCATGTGGTCAAAATGACTAACAGTTTTGGTACCAATTCCCAACTCTTGTTCAATGATGTAGTAGATAGGAAAGGGGGAAAATATCATGTCTAGGTTGGAAATATCAGTAGATGAGGTCCATGGATTATATTCTAGTTTTAAAGCAAAATTATCCTAACCCGGTTATGGAAATAGATTCAGAGGGGTTTGATTGCAGGATCCTACCCTGGATTCTCATGTATACATAAAGAACTTCAAAAGCAACTCACAGATACCACCCTTCAAAACATGAAAAGATAAATATAACATATAAAGGAAAAAAAGAAGAAGGTAATAGCAAGGACTCACTGGGTAGCATCGCATCATATACAAAAGGGGATTAGAAGATAAATCTAGCCCGTCAACATGGTGCTGACTGAACACAGCAATCCGAACCTGTAGAAATATAAGTCCCCCTTGAGATTCAAGCATATAAAGTAACTCCAACTTTGCAAGGAGATACAAAGGCCAAATACCAGTTACTTTGCGTTCTAACACAAGGCACATAACGCAGAAAACAAGTATTTGCATAAATAAATAATGATAACTATAAACAAATTAACTTGGTGGACAGTGAGATGTTAGCTAAAATCTGAAATCTATCAATTTGAAATTGTTATCCAGTATAGGTAATCCCGCGAAATATGCAAGATACCTTAGCCGAACGGAAAACTGTCCCAGAGATTGGTTGTAGCTCCCCCGCAATTAGCTTGAGTATTGTTGATTTACCAATGCCATTTGGCCCAACCACTGCATAACAATTTTGACACCACATATACAAGGTGAATCATAAGTAAACCATCAAGTATAGATCCTTTTCAAATAGAAAAAGATTAAACTAGCATACTTACTTGCTATGCGGCTGTCAAGGTCAATTCCAAAATTTAAATTCTTAAACAAAATGGGCCCCCCAGGATAACCAAATGATGCATCACTGCAAACACATACATCAGAAAGATCCCATAAGCGCTTGATCTAAGTAATGAAAACAGAATAAACTTGAAAATAGAAAAGAACACAAACAAAGGATCTCAGGTGACTTGCAAAACCCAAAAAGGGAGCTGACCTGAAACTTATTATAGGAGGACCAGGTCTGTCGTCCGGAGTTGGGAACTCAAATTTATAGCTGCACATGAAAGGCCAGAGTTTATAAAGATAGAAAGAAAAAGCAGAAATGTTTCTAGAAGCTCCTATCCATATAAGCCACAAAAACAAATCGGTGCATACTCAGGGTCATTTACAATCTCGTCCACATGTCCCAACCGGTCCAATGCCTAAATCAAAGTAAAGAAGGAATATTAGTTATATTACAGTCGTTAGAAATGGTTTCGGGAACATGCAAAAATACAATAAAGATCACCTTAATTCTTGATTGAACAAGTGCGGCCCTCTTCGCATTGTAACGGAACTTATCAATAAAAGTCTGCAGATCAGAGTAAAACATGTGAATGCCAAACACAAGTTACTGTAATTCAAAAAACATGCCATTGACAGAGGAGCAAGATGACAAAAGAAGATCAAGAAGAAGAGCGAGTACTTTAACATATAGAAGACATGATTCTATCCTTGTTATTTAAACAGAAAGCTACATGCAGAAAATTTGAAAATAAAAAGAGAAAATATGTGCATTTATCTAAAAATGAAGTTGACTAGGAAAATCAAATTAGTAATTACTGGTAGAAGCAAACAAAGGCTAACAACCTTTGCCAAAGCAATAAGGAGACAAAAAAACAAAAAAGTAATATGGGAGGTCAGCAGAATTAAGTTGAACTGCTGTAGACATCAAGAAAATAAGAACAAGAATAATAGCATCAATTTTTTCATTACGGTAAGATGAAAAACCTGCATGTGTGCTCTTGAACGCTCGTTGGACTCAAAAGCTTTCTGTTGGTTCTTGACCAGTTCAATTCGTGTCCTCTCATATATATCATAGTTCCCCTTGTAGGCATTTAATTTTTGCCCATGAAGATGAAGGATATCAGTGACCACCTGAAAAAACAGAGCAAAGAATGAGGTATACTAAAGGATAGTGCACGTGTTACATAAACTATACTCATTAATACTGTTGTTGATATGGCCAAATGAGAAACTAAAGCACATAAGCAAGTTACCGTGTTCAAGAATTCCCTAGCATGAGAAACAACTATACATGTTTTCGGCCACTTCACCAGGTAAGTCTCCAGCCAGAGGACAGCATGAAGATCAAGATGGTTCTGGAAAAAGAAAAAAGGATACACATGAGGCGGAAAAATGAAAACCAGGCACACAGAATAATATAAAAAGCCTAAAGGGGTATATGAACAACAGACCGTGGGTTCATCAAGTAGTAACAAATCAGGCTCTATAAACAGGGCACGAGCAAGAGCTATTCGCATTCTCCATCCTCCAGAAAATGCTTTAGTGGCTTTTCGCTGCATCTCCGGAGAGAAACTAAGACCCTGTAAAATTCCAGGTCAGTAGGATAGCAATTCAGAAAAATGAACCAGCTGACAAGCAACAGTGTAGGTAAAGGCACAACTTCCTTTCTCAACTTCGAAGAAATTCATTGCATCACACATGCACACATCCAGAGCAACCCATCCAAATGTACCTGAATGGCATGGTTAACTGCCAGCAGGTAGGATTTTCTGTTTCATTTATTAGTATTGGTGGCTCGGTGATTTATACCATTATTGATAGGTTCAGCATAACAGCAAAGAAATTCAACCTAGAATAAGATTGCATTTTCAACTTCTTACCCCATTTCTTTCTGTTACTATTTATTCTAATTTTTGGAGAGTTGAAGCCAGCCCTAAACATCATAAATTTACATGTCAAAAACCAAGCTTAATTCATGTACAACTTCTATGAAGAAAGGATTCCCATCGGAGCAGTATAGGTGTACATTTAGGGGTCGTTTGGCACGGCGGACTGTCATGGACTGGACTAAATCCTAGGACTGTCTCGGATTAACTTGGATTGGCCTAAGCTGGATTAAGTCCTGACCTACGTTTGGTGCTGCGTCGGACTAAGAAGCTGGATTGTAAAAATAGTGAAGACCTATGTTTGGTGTTGTGTCGGACTAAAAAATAATTATTTTAATATTTAATTTTAATTAAAAAAATAAAATTCTAATATTTAATTTTAATTAAAGATTGCTAAAACTATCTTATCTCTTCTTCTTCTTTTTTTTTTTCTTCTCTTTTTTCTCCTTTTCTTCTTCCTCTCCTTCCCAGCCCGTTTCTTTCTCTCTTTTTTATTTATTTATTTACTTTTCTTCCTTTCTTCCTCTCTTCTTCTTCCTTCCCAGGCCATCCCCTTTTTTTTTTTTCCCTTTCTTCCTCTCTTCTTCTTCCTTCCTTCTTAATCAAACTGTCTAAATTGAAAGCTGTAACCTTTACTGAGAGAGAAAGAGAGAGTGGTCAAGGATTTTAGGTTGAGAAAAAGAGTAGAAAGAGAGAGAGACAGAGGATGAAAATTCAATACCAGCTATTTATTCCATAAGTTCAACTTGATGGCTTCTATGTCATTTACCGGAAGAATCCTTTAATGGGTACCAATTAGTTTTTAGAATTTTTGTCAAACCACTTCAAGACTGGGAATTCATGACTTCCTTCTCTCAGTCTCATACAAGAAAGCCCACATCTCCGTTAATGGTGTCTCCCTTGCAGTTTTCTTGATCATGGTGGATGATTTCTTGGAAGGTTCAATTGGGTTTGACAGTGGTTGTTGAATTTGGGTTCAATTGGGTTGTGGTTCCAGTGGGTTTGAATTGGTGGTGGTTGATTCGAGTGATTGGGTTTGAATTGATGGTGGTTGGTTCGAGTGACTGGGTTTGACGATGGTCTGTGGTGATTCTGGTGGTTTGGCTGGGTCTGTGGTGGTTATAGTTCTAGGTGAAGAAGAAGAAGCTGGTTATTGTCGGACTCGCGTTCTCTGTTTAGCGACATCGCTATTTTGCGAACCGATTTTGAGGCTCACTAAATTGGAAGAGCTAGTGAGGCTTTTTGTTTACTGTTGGGCTCTACAATCCCATTTAAATTAGTCCCCTTTCAAACCAAACATGGGTTTCAGGTACAATATAGGACAGTCCTATCTAGTGAGCCCTACCAAACATGCCCTTAGATGATTGTTGCAGAAATGAATGGAGTACTGACCGCAAGAATGGAAGCTGCACGTGACTCTGCGGAATCAGCATCAATGAACTCAAGCCTTTTGTATATCTCCTGAAGCCTCCGTCCAATAGCATCTTTGTCAATTGCCCCATCGCTCGTTTCTGTTGTTTCCTCAAACTCCAGTTCTCTCTTCACGTTATAATAATTTATTTAGCACAAGAAAGGAGCATGTAAACATTAATCCATCAAGAACTTTTTTTTGGTATAAAAATAGATGAAGACTGAAAAGCTAAACTCTCCTCTAATTAAAAACAATATGGTATTCAACCTGTTTAGTGAGGAGACGAGCTTCTTCTTCCATAAGTTGAGTTCTTTCAACATCAGTGTTCAGAACACATTGCAAGGCTGATGTGTCATCACCCACCACTTCTTGCTCCACATGCAATATTTGGAAGTTCTTAGGAATGCCATCAATGGCATGCATAGCCAAGTGCCTAAGAAATGTTGTTTTCCCTGTACCATTTCTTCCAACAAGGCCTGCATGAATTGAGGCACAATCTATTATGTCAAATGCCAACTGAAAATTATTATTACAACTACAACATTATTCAACAACCTCAGAGATTAGAAACTCCATGTACCACAAACTCACTATTGGGAACTCTAACGAAAGGCCCTCTCAACTTGAGAACCAAATCAAGAGCATCTTAATCCATGAAAAGCAAACTCACCATAATGCCTTCCAAAAGAAAGTGTTACTGAACCATCCACAATTAGATCGCGGCCACCCACCGAAACATTGAAGTTCTCCAGACGGATATCCTTGACATTTGGCCCACCAATGCTTTCATGATTTACAGATACAACAGGCATTCCTGCCCTAACTGCTTCCATTTCTGCTAAATGTATTTGATATTGTTGCTGTGTAATCAAAAAGATAAAACTTATAAAAAAACTGAACAAATCTCTTTCAGCCATATAAATCATCAACACCAATAACAACCTAGCTCGGATATAACTTCAACCCAATTATACCCACACTCAACATGGCCCAATAATATTGTACCCCTAGATGATAAAAAACCTCGCATAAGCAGTAGGATATGGTAAGTACAGCTCACATACTAAATTCCTACCTACTTCATTGGCATAATCATATCTTACACAGAAACCTTACCTCTCTTTGGCGCTCATCCTTCCTCTTTCTTCTTTCTATCTTAGCTCGGTCACGTTCAGTTAACAAAGGGCCATCAACCGCCTCAACCTTCTTCTTTGGAGCTTCCCCCTCATCCATCCCATCATCCATTCTAACTGGTGCTGCAAGGCTCCGTACAGTTGGTTTAGCTTTAACCAACCCATGCTTGCCAAACTTTTCGGATATTATACTACAAACCTATCGCAAAAAACTAACGTCAAGAACAATACAAACCCAGATTGAGAAAGCATTTTTCACGGAATCAAAATGAATAGCATTGCCAATGTCCACAAACAACCTCATCTCAACTAAGCGTCGCTAACAACATAAAGCCTACAATTCCAAAACTCTTTTTATTTTCTTCAATTTCTCTACAAACCAACGTCGGATTCAGTTTCATGGAATACACATCGAAAAGAAATGGAATTCATAACAACTGTCCAGTATCTCAAATTATCAAATCAGATTCAAAGCAAATGCTATAAGCTCAGCGTAGCAAATAATACATTAATCTACTCATCCAAAACCAGTTTTACTTTCTTTCCAGATTTTCTTTGCAGCCAAACGGACCAACTCAAGGGAAAGGAAAAAATCGCAGACTCACCGAGCGACATTCAGCGAAGCTTCCTTTCTCAACTTCGAAGAAATTCATTGCATCACACATGCACACATCCAGAGCAACCCATCCAAATGTACCTGAATGGCATGGTTAACTGCCAGCAGGTAGGATTTTCTGTTTCATTTATTAGTATTGGTGGCTCGGTGATTTATACCATTATTGATAGGTTCAGCATAACAGCAAAGAAATTCAACCTAGAATAAGATTGCATTTTCAACTTCTTACCCCATTTCTTTCTGTTACTATTTATTCTAATTTTTGGAGAGTTGAAGCCAGCCCTAAACATCATAAATTTACATGTCAAAAACCAAGCTTAATTCATGTAGAGTTCCTTCTCTGAGTCTCATACAAGAAAGCCCACATCTCCGTTAATGGTGTCTCCCTTGCAGTTTTCTTGATCATGGTGGATGATTTCTTGGAAGGTTCAATTGGGTTTGACAGTGGTTGTTGAATTTGGGTTCAATTGGGTTGTGGTTCCATTGGGTTTGAATTGGTGGTGGTTGATTCGAGTGACTGGGTTTGAATTGATGGTGGTTGATTCGAGTGACTGAGTTTGAATTTATGGTGGTTGGTTCGAGTGACTGGGTTTGACGATGGTCTGTGGTGATTCTGGTGGTTTGGCTGGGTCTGTGGTGGTTATAGTTCTAGGTGAAGAAGAAGAAGCTGGTTATTGTCGGACTCGCGTTCTCTGTTTAGCGACATCGCTATTTTGCGAACCGATTTTGAGGCTCACTAAATTGGAAGAGCTAGTGAGGCTTTTTGTTTACTGTTGGGCTCTACAATCCCATTTAAATTAGTCCCCTTTCAAACCAAACATGGGTTTCAGGTACAATATAGGACAGTCCTATCTAGTGAGCCCTACCAAACATGCCCTTAGATGATTGTTGCAGAAATGAATGGAGTACTGACCGCAAGAATGGAAGCTGCACGTGACTCTGCGGAATCAGCATCAATGAACTCAAGCCTTTTGTATATCTCCTGAAGCCTCCGTCCAATAGCATCTTTGTCAATTGCCCCATCGCTCGTTTCTGTTGTTTCCTCAAACTCCAGTTCTCTCTTCACGTTATAATAATTTATTTAGCACAAGAAAGGAGCATGTAAACATTAATCCATCAAGAACTTTTTTTTGGTATAAAAATAGATGAAGACTGAAAAGCTAAACTCTCCTCTAATTAAAAACAATATGGTATTCAACCTGTTTAGTGAGGAGACGAGCTTCTTCTTCCATAAGTTGAGTTCTTTCAACATCAGTGTTCAGAACACATTGCAAGGCTGATGTGTCATCACCCACCACTTCTTGCTCCACATGCAATATTTGGAAGTTCTTAGGAATGCCATCAATGGCATGCATAGCCAAGTGCCTAAGAAATGTTGTTTTCCCTGTACCATTTCTTCCAACAAGGCCTGCATGAATTGAGGCACAATCTATTATGTCAAATGCCAACTGAAAATTATTATTACAACTACAACATTATTCAACAACCTCAGAGATTAGAAACTCCATGTACCACAAACTCACTATTGGGAACTCTAACGAAAGGCCCTCTCAACTTGAGAACCAAATCAAGAGCATCTTAATCCATGAAAAGCAAACTCACCATAATGCCTTCCAAAAGAAAGTGTTACTGAACCATCCACAATTAGATCGCGGCCACCCACCGAAACATTGAAGTTCTCCAGACGGATATCCTTGACATTTGGCCCACCAATGCTTTCATGATTTACAGATACAACAGGCATTCCTGCCCTAACTGCTTCCATTTCTGCTAAATGTATTTGATATTGTTGCTGTGTAATCAAAAAGATAAAACTTATAAAAAAACTGAACAAATCTCTTTCAGCCATATAAATCATCAACACCAATAACAACCTAGCTCGGATATAACTTCAACCCAATTATACCCACACTCAACATGGCCCAATAATATTGTACCCCTAGATGATAAAAAACCTCGCATAAGCAGTAGGATATGGTAAGTACAGCTCACATACTAAATTCCTACCTACTTCATTGGCATAATCATATCTTACACAGAAACCTTACCTCTCTTTGGCGCTCATCCTTCCTCTTTCTTCTTTCTATCTTAGCTCGGTCACGTTCAGTTAACAAAGGGCCATCAACCGCCTCAACCTTCTTCTTTGGAGCTTCCCCCTCATCCATCCCATCATCCATTCTAACTGGTGCTGCAAGGCTCCGTACAGTTGGTTTAGCTTTAACCAACCCATGCTTGCCAAACTTTTCGGATATTATACTACAAACCTATCGCAAAAAACTAACGTCAAGAACAATACAAACCCAGATTGAGAAAGCATTATTCACGGAATCAAAATGAATAGCATTGCCAATGTCCACAAACAACCTCATCTCAACTAAGCGTCGCTAACAACATAAAGCCTACAATTCCAAAACTCTTTTTATTTTCTTCAATTTCTCTACAAACCAACGTCGGATTCAGTTTCATGGAATACACATCGAAAAGAAATGGAATTCATAACAACTGTCCAGTATCTCAAATTATCAAATCAGATTCAAAGCAAATGCTATAAGCTCAGCGTAGCAAATAATACATTAATCTACTCATCCAAAACCAGTTTTACTTTCTTTCCAGATTTTCTTTGCAGCCAAACGGACCAACTCAAGGGAAAGGAAAAAATCGCAGACTCACCGAGCGACATTCAGCGAAGTCGCTAACACAGCCAGCGCCGACGAGGAGCTCGCCGAGAGCGTCGAAAGCACCTTCTCCATCGTCGCCGAAATCGAAGTCCTCGTCGGCGAGGACGTTAACGATGTAGTCGATTATGGGCTGGTCTACGTCCTCGGCCCTCCGGCCCAGCACTTCGTGGACCACTGAGCTCGCCACTGTCATTCTCCGAACCAAATTCAATTCCAAAAACGAAAATCAGGATTTCTGTTTCGTTCACTGCGCAAGGGTTTTTGCAGAGATTGAAGAAAAACGATAGAAAGCTCGGCGTTCAGTTGATAAAGAAGGGTGCTTGATACGACGGCGTTCAGTTGAGAGGGCAAATATTCATTTGTTAACAACCAAATCTTAATAGGCATGAAAAAATGGCGGGTGTGAGCCCAGCCCATTTCTTCGGGCCATGGGTACCCAAATTCCAAGAAGTATTTGAAATTGATTCCTAAAAAAGCACGTGCTTCTACAAAAAGCACGAAAGCACTAATGAGTTTTTATGCCAAACGTTATATTTGGTTGTCATGAAGCATTTTTAGCGCAAAAGTATTTTTTTGGCACACATGGACTTAATATCTAGTGCGTCCCATTTGGGCTCCACAATGGCACATCACCAAAATAGATGGGTGGAAAATTGGTCAGTGTCGACGAATTTACCAATGTAACCATGTCACATTATCAATTTTAACAAAATTTGATATGAATTTGATGTTAAGAGAGAAAGTGACACATTAAATGAGTTATGAACAATGTAGGATTTGATCAACAATCCAAGGAGCACCGTAACAATTAAGCTTAAGAAACGAGAAGTGTTTTCAACTCTGATATGAATTTGTTTGTTTTATTAACGTATTATTGACATTAGTGAATAATTCAAAAGGTTCTATGCACCCTTGGACACGAGTCCAACTTGTGAAAATTCCACATCAGTTTCAAAGCCCGAGCCCTTCAAACGTGTCAAAACCGGAAGAACTTGACCGGGTTGACCCGTCCAAGGGTCCAGGAGCCTAGCTCCCGAGCAACAGAATAAATAGCTCCCAAGCAACAAAATAAAATTTCCAAGATTCCAAACGCAAGGCTACGAATTGTCAGTCTCTGCTCCATTGCTCACATCGGCGACGCTTGCAATCGAAGCTCTCTGGTTCTTTCTCAGCTAAGAAAGGCAATTCAAAAACCTAGAATTCGCTGAAACTGAAGTGTTGGAGATGAGGCTGCTGAAGACTGCGACGTGTAATTTGAACCAATGGGCTATGGACTTCGATTGCAATTTGAAGAACATCAAAGAGTCGATAGCTAAGGCTAAAGAGGCTGGGGCTGTGATTCGGCTTGGTCCTGAGCTTGAGATTACTGGTTATGGCTGCGAAGACCATTTCCTCGAGCTCGATACTGTTAATCATGCGTAAGCTCTTTGGATTTTAAACCATTTTTTCAAAGTTGAAGTTTTGAAAAGAAAAAATAAAAAGCTACATTAAAACCAACTTGGACTTTATTAAAACAATTAACTAACCATGATGATTTTTAAGTTATTGTTAATGGTAATCCCTTATGGTGATTGAGAAATGTGATTTTTGCAGATGGGAATGCTTGAAAGAGCTCTTAGTTGGGGATTGGACTGATGGTATATTATGCAGCTTTGGCATGCCTGTGATCAAAGGGTCAGAGCGTTACAATTGTCAAATTCTTTGTATGAACAGAAAGATTATCATGATACGCCCAAAGATGTGGCTTGCGAATGATGGAAATTACAGGGAGCTTCGTTGGTTTACAGCATGGAAACAAAGAGACCAACTTGTGAACTTTCAGTTGCCAAAGGAAATTTCAGAGGCTTTGTCACAGGATTCAGTGCCTTTTGGTTATGGGTACATTCAGTTTCTGGACACGTAAGTGCCAATGTTATTAGCTCTATTGTTGTTAGTCAGGTTTAGACTCCATGTATCACTTGTTGCTTTTGTAGTTCCATCCGTACACTGAAACGTAGGATTGTTTAGGTGAGAATGAAATAGTAGAAATTTTTATCCCTGTTAGATATAGAGGATAGTGCCGCAACTGCCTTGAAAGTTGTCTTCATTATAGTTCCTTGGAATTCATTGAGTTAACCACAAAATTCATTATTATTAAGTTTGGTTGGGACTTTGCAGTTGTCCACGTTTTAGAATCATGCCATCATAACACTTTGTGAGGACTTTGTTTTGTGCACAAGAGGTGGTCGTTGGTTGATCCCACCTCTGCATTATCTGAAATGTGCTTCAGGAAAGCCCATAGCTGATGCAGATGGGTCAAATGCCTGCCTAAGTAAAATTTGCAGGAGTTGTGAGCTTTTTTCAGCAGTCAGCATTAGCATTTTTTGTATAATAAGTTCACTCCTAATCTGATTTTATGCATTTCTAAATCTTAAGCATTGTTCCCTTATTAGAGCTGTCGCGGCTGAAATTTGTGAAGAGCTTTTTGCTCCCATTCCTCCTCACGCCGAGCTTGCATTGAATGGGGTTGAAGTGTTTATGAATGCAAGTGGAAGTCATCACCAACTAAGAAAGCTTGATATTCGTCTTCGTGCTTTTATAGGTGCTACTCACACTCGTGGAGGGGTGTACATGTACAGCAATCAGCAGGGGTGTGATGGTGGTCGCCTATACTATGGTACGTGACATTATTTTTTCTTCAGTGGTTCTGTGCAAATTTTCTTAGGATAATATACTTATCAGTGCTGCATATTTTAAGTTAAGGGCAAAATACTGTTTCGTTGGTGGTATTTTGGGTCTATCTCTTATGGAATCTCCTTTTAGTATTATAAAAAACTTGATCTTTAATTATTGTTATGTGATGAATAATGCATCTATTTGTTGAACTATGAGTAATTTGTCGCAGATGGTTGCGCTTCTGTCGTTGTAAATGGAGATCTAGTCGCGCAAGGCTCACAATTTTCGCTGAAGGATGTTGAGGTTGTAATTGCCCAAATTGATTTAGAAGCGGTATGCGATTCTTTTCACTGCTTGTATGTGTCTGCATGTTTCATTTAGACGCTACATTAAATTGCAATGACTTTTATACGACAAAATAACAAATATTTGGTTCATTTCTTTGAGTGTAGTTTACTTCTACTAGTACAGATTCCTTGAATTTCTTACAACTATAATTTGTTACTTTACTACTTTTGCTTCTGGCATAATGGCAGGTTGCTAGTCTTAGAGGATCAATAAGTAGCTTCCAAGAGCAAGCAAGCTGCAAAACCAGGGTTCCTTTTGTGGAGGCGCGATACAACCTTTGTCAGTCTTTTAATCTGAAAATGTGCCTTTCTAGTCCGCTAAAGGTTAGATCCAGTTCTAGCAAACACCAACTCAAGTAGTTGGGATAGTGTTTTTTAAAAAAGTTGAAGAAAAGCCTTTGGCTTGCCAGTCTTCATCAATAGATTGCCTACAAATATTTCTGTTTTACATCTCTGTGTGTTTCAGACCTTATCTTACAATATAACAAAAGTGATATGCTTTAACATGCTTTCTTTGGTGGAGTTTCCAGTTATGTGGATAAGCCTTGTCCTTTTGACATTATTTATCAAACATTGCTTTAATTAATCAAACATTCACATTTATAAATGAATATAATTTATGATCTGCAGATTAAGTATCACTCTCCTGAGGAGGAAATAGCCTTTGGTCCTGGTTGCTGGTTATGGGACTATTTAAGAAGAAGTGGAGCTTCTGGTTTTCTGCTTCCCCTTTCTGGAGGAGCAGATAGCTCCTCTGTAGCAGCTATAGTTGGTTGCATGTGCCAGCTTGTCGTAAAAGGTTAGTTTTCTTAAGCCTATAGTCGGGTACTATGATTTTATTTTTTATGTGATTGACTTTTCGGTCGCATGATGCATTTCATGTAGAAGGACCACTTATTTCTGGATGGGTGGATGGGGTCCGTAACCATTTCTTACAGGTTTATCATAAGAACTGGATGTATACCTTGGCCTTGCGAATTATACTAACGTAGAAATTACATATGCCACACTTAGAATTATAATGTTTTCAACTTAATCTGAGCAGCCTTAGCTCACAACTTAGTCATAAACTTAGCTAACCAGTGTTTCAGGTTAGGAGAGTGAGCATAGAGGTATCAGTTAGTCTCTCCTTTGAACTTGTGTAAGTAATCAGGGTGCAGTAGAGGCAGAAAAAAGATCTCTCGTATCTTACTGGGAACCATATAAAAATCATCCTCTGAATATATATCATTCATTTATGATGGACTCTTACATGCAGAAATTGCAAATGGGGATGAACAAGTCAAAGCTGATGCGATACGGATTGGACAATACAAGGATGGCCAGTATCCTACTGACAGCAGAGAATTCGCAAAACGCATATTTTATACTGTTTTCATGGGATCTGAAAACAGGTGAGCCCATTTACACAAACAACAATTAATGTCAATGTCCTTTACGCAACTCCTTTTGTGGTTTCTAATCAAGGTAATTTGTGCTTTGCTGTGCATATCTAATGTCAGCAATTCATCTGAAATCATCACAGTTTCTGTATAAAAGTAAAGGTCTAAAATGCACTAAATTGGGGAAGGGACCATAATTCATCAATTAATAATCCAGGAAAAGGTTTTTTAGATTTTAAAAGCACATGAGAACCAATTATTAACAAATTAATAAAGTTTCCATTTGTAGACTTGCAGTAGATTTTATTATCCCAATATCCTGCAGATACGTGCTCATAATATGATATTATAGTAGTCCAGTAAAGGGGTTTGTTCCTTGCAGCTCTGAAGCGACAAAGTCAAGGGCAAAAGTTCTAGCAGATGAAATTGGAGCATGGCATCTTGACGTGTCCATAGATGGTGTCATTTCCGCACTTCTGTCGTTGTTTCAAACTGTAACAGGAAAACAACCACAATACAAAGTAAATATTGTCTGACTTCAAATTCTCCCCTCCCTCCTCCTCCTCCTCATGTGTGTATGTATGTCTGTATGGATTGTGGTCATTGGGATATGACCATAATTACATTAGAAACTTAATAATTGTGCTTTAAATTGATTCTTCAACATCGTTTTATTTTGATAGGTAGATGGAGGATCTAATAGCGAGAACTTAGGTTTGCAAAACATTCAAGCTCGAATAAGAATGGTGCTGGCTTTTATGTTTGCGTCACTCCTACCTTGGGTTCATAATAAACCTGGGTTTTATCTTGTTTTGGGTAGCTCCAATGTGGACGAAGCATTGCGTGGTTACCTCACCAAGGTACTGCATTATTTTTACTTGTGGTGTATCGGTAATAAATGGTATTTCTTGTGGGCACTTTCTCTTATCTTAATAAACTTGACCTGCCTGCTAGTTTATATGTAAGTGCTCTTTTTGCTTTT